TTCGGCATTATAATGAAATCTTAATGAAATTATAATAGATTTAATACATTTGTAATATTATGAAGCTTTGTTATCATTCATTTATTATAATTAATTAGTATTTGTTCAATAACTCGGGTCAACCGGGTCATAAAACCGACCCGAGCTTTTAAGTCAGGTCGGGTCACATGACTCGGGTCGACCCGTTCCGTTAGGAGCACTAATAATGACGCACATGAAAATTTCGTATTTAAATCAATTGCTAGTGGATTAGCACGCCTTGAAACTAGTTTTTGCAACTTTAATTGGTTTTTTCGGAAACAGTAAGTAATACTATAACACTTAATTAGCGAAAGTATTTTGTTATAGAACACAAAAAATAGCAGAACAATTATTCCTAATGCACTAGAAAGCAGTGTTGGCAAATTTCGAGGTCATTTCACTTTTTTCATATATGATCACGTGATATATTTCATAGTGAAATCATGACGTAATCAGGTCATTTAAAGGTCATTTCAAGAAAAAAAACTCTTTCCGCTCTACCCAATTTTTGTTAAAATGGCGCAGTAGAATTACTTTTATTATTACGAACTAGACGTTTTTTTTATTATTTTATTTTCGCTAGCTATTACATTTTCTTTTAACTTACAACAACTCGCGAATATACACAAGTCACTCCATATCTTTTAGTATATACATATGGTAAAAGTTTTACTTTTAATAGAATTATACAGTCAAGAGACAACGTCATATATACCCCCTTTACGTAATATACACCCCAGTAGTTATATAAGAGTTTTTTTTATTTTTAACTGTTGCTACATTATATACTTGAACCTTTATATTTTAATATTCAAAATATAAAATTTTTACTATCTTTTATTATTATATATCCCTTAAAATGTCTTCCAAAAATTTTTCTTTGGAAAAAAATTTTTCGAAAACTCCTTTGCAGGTATCCCTGAAAAAATTCCATGTGACCAAACCAAATCGATCAGGTTACAACAAGATATATGAAATACGTCGATCAAGAAGTTTCTTTTTTGAGCTTGCTGATCATAATTCGAACACCAATAATATTCAATTAACAATACACACAAATGATTATCAGATGAACACAAAACCTATTAATTATAAAAACACGAGTTCATTTCCAAATAACAAATACCAAATTAGTGTTATGCTCACACACTTTTTTTCTTCACAAAGAGTTATACCCCGACGTATTCAACAAAAATATTTCAATATGATTCGTAATAGATTATTGGACCGAATCAATATTATAGAATCACGTGGTTCGTTGGTAACGTCCAGAAATATTCACACTCGAACTTTTTTTAATTTTAGTTACAAAAAATATAGATTTTATTTTGGAATTTTTATACCCTGTTCTCATAATCAATCAACTCCCGACACCTTCCCTATGTTAGGCAAATGTAGAATTCCCGCTCCTTTTATTATGTCACGTGATAGACGTGCTTGCGTCAATCACCAACCACAATTTTTTAAAGAAAAGATTTTTCATAATATTAAACCCAAACCTGAACACAATGATAAAGATATCACGCCTGATTTTACTAATAGTAAAACTTCACATGCTAACCTGTTGTATTTTAGATGGTTAGCTGGACGACCAAAACATATTTTCTCTAAAAGAATGGGTATATCCTTTATTTCTTCTTACCATGCTC